CTGGCTATCGACTGGCTTGATCAGAACTACTTTGCTTCTTGCTATCCATCAAACGACCCATCGATCTGTGTTTGGGACCGGAGAATGATCACCCGCCTCAACACGCCACAATTGGGCTTCACCGGAGGGTCTCATAGTGAGAATCGCCAACCCGAGCTGTCACTAGAGCTAAAGAGCGTCGTCGAAAGTCCAGGGACAGTTTGGAGCGTGAGATTTTCCAAAGCTGAGCGAGGGTGCTTGGGCGTTCTCTCCAGTACTGGACATCTGAAAGTCTATAAATTGGGCAAAGATTTCTCTTCACAGACCTACAGGGTCGAAAATGACGGACGCCAGGATCTCTCATGGGAGACCAGCACACCTCAGGAGATCTTTCTCGAGCGAGCTCAAGACCTCGAGAGGCCATATGCAAGTGCCGCTGCTCCCAAGAACGAGAAATCCAGGATTGTGTCCTTTGACTTCACGACAGCCACAACCAATATGAGGCAATCCAAGATCTTGACACTTGACGGACGTGGCGAGGTCAAGCTCATATACCCCAGCCCTCCTCCAGGCCCGTCGCCCCTCTGCTCAGCTGGGTATCTATGCAAAGGCAGTCATTTTATCGAACGGTTAACCACTTCCACTCCTGAACCAGGAACTGCAATCGACCAAGTCCGTCGTCGGGCTCAGCCCCGGAACATTCTCAGACAGAACTTTAAGCAATCACGACAGAACAGGACAATTGCGGAAACTAAACGAATGTCGAGTCTTGATGATCAGGCATGGCACGCCGACTTAGGTTTCTACGAAAGGGATGTGCCATTACCAGACCTTGTGACATTGACCTCAATTCAACGGTTGCGGTGCGAAGCAGGCTATCTTCTCAACCCCTCCAAAAATAAGGCCATTGTCTCAGACTCCCACTGGCTACAATCATTCTGGGCTTGGGTGGAACGAGCTGCGAAAATATCGAGAAATGGCAACATGGCACACGACAATTTCGATCTTTCTTACATCGGCGTTTATGGTCTCTGGATGGAAGACATCGATCCCAAGCATCGAATGCTCGGTCAAAGCCCTAACAAACTCGGCAAAACTATTGAGAATCTGGTGCACCGTTTGAATATACCTGGCATCAGCAAAACGACAACCGAATACACCGCCAACAGGCAGCTCTGCCTCTATTCAGCCGGCTTAGCCTGGTCCTCTGACGAGCTCAAGTCGATCGTCAAACGGCTGGTGACGAAAAATCAGCATACAAAGGCGGCAGCCTTAGCTCTATTTGCGGTGGACCGCAAGTTGGCGTACAAGGCACTCCGCGATAAGACTGCCAATCAGTCCCACAAAATGCTCGCCATGGCAATCGCCGGTTCATTCAAGAAAGCCCGAAATGAAGACACTGGAGCAAGTAGTCCGGGAGAGTCGGACGCCCAGGATGATTGGGCTGACACGATTTCATCCCTTGCCGACGAGTTGACGGATCCCTATGCGCGAGCGATCCTAGCATATGTCAAAACTGGGGATTGGTCAAATGTAGTTGCCGAAGAATCCCTTCCTCTCAAATACCGCGTTTGCATTGCTTTGCGACACTACGACGATTCGAGACTGACAAAGTACATCTCTGATACCACCAAGGAAGCATTGGCTGCAGGAGACATTGAAGGTGTTGTGCTGACAGGCACAGCAACGCAGGCCGCTTTCGACCTCATGAGCGGCTACGTTCAGCGCTTTGGTGATTTACAAACGGCGGTATTGGCACTTTGCTCGACCATTCCACGATACTTGGATGACGAGACAGTGCTTCGTAAGTTCGATGGCTGGAAAGATGCTTACAGGCACATGATGAACAGTTGGAATCTGAAGTTTGACCGAGTGCGGTTCGATATAGCCTGCCATAATGCCGCTAGAGATGAGGGGGGAAGACCACTGATACCCCCAGCAAAACAGCAAGTACGTCTCGTCTGCGGCTTTTGCGCACAGAGCATTGCACATTTGGCGGGTGCTGATGGCGAAAGTGTGTCCGGCCACAAGGTTATGGATACAGCTCGGCACCCGCTGACCAAGGAGAAGGCTGCAGCTGTTGGTATAGTGTGTCCCAAGTGCGAACGACATTTGCCACGTTGTGGTGTTTGCGACCTCTGGCTTGGAGAGCCTGATGGATCCTATCTGCCGTGGTCCGGATCGCAATTACCATCGAAGCATGATGCCGGCAAGGCCAGTCTTGATCTCAGTTCCAGCATTGCGGGGAGTGTGCAGACAACATTGGGACCTGACACCACCCTGGGACCAAACATCAAGGGCAGCTCGCCTCGACAGAAAAACTCGGTCCCAGTGAACTCCAAGGTTTCAACGAGTGAGTCGTCGACAAAGACGACCGTCCCTACTTCCCCGGCACCCAGCAAGACAGTGGATTCAGTTCCCGACATTATGGTGGCAGCGCCAGAAGGTTCAGGCCACGGGCAAGGGCCTGATGGCGAGATGAAGAAGGTAGAGGCCGCGCGGAAATGGGATAGCGCCATGTCTCGATTCACGGTGATGTGTCTGAAGTGTTCTCATGGGTGTCACGCTGCACATGCACGAATGTGGTTCGAAAGGCATCGTGTGTGTCCGGTTCCGGACTGTCCGTGTCTCTGCAATGAGTGAGGTATACACTGCTGACACTCACCCAACAACCGTGGTTATGAGAGAGGTCATGGAGGAAGCCAAGACTCTTATACCAACACAACCATCTAAGCCTCATCTTGCACCAGAAGGCTATATGCTGCTGGCAAGATGTTCTACTTGCAGGACCAGATGAGTGGGGACCAGGTCGAGACTGGCGTCTCTTTCCGCTCCACCAGCATCAGAAAACAGCCGTTGAGTCGCTCATCTCGTTGACAGCGTCAGGCCTGCCATCTTATGTCACGTGTATCGCCTTGGCTCTGCTTCAGCCCAATTCGGAACGGCGCAACAAGCTCCAGCATATAAAAAACTTTCTCCACCACCAAAGACCAGGACTAATCATCCAGCACTTCGATCTTGACCTACACTCTTGACAGCATCTCAGAACGCGTCTATAATGATGGCCACCCGCACCAGAATCTCAATGAATGCCGCATCGGCCAGGAATGGAGTGGGATACTTCTTCGCCATCGTCTTTGTGGCCCTTTCTCTCCTTGCCGTGTACATGCTCCGTATAGCAACCATCATGTCGGGTGTGACCGACAAAATGGAATATATCACCACAAACAGCCAGTTCACGGAACACTCGTTGGAACTACGCACCATGTACACCGGGATCGCACCTCTGGACAAAGGTCTCTCGTTACTGGTGGCGGCTTTTATGAATGGCGCGGCCGGATGGGACAGGGGGTTCCTCATGTTCATGATGTATTTCCTGTTCTCTTTCTTCCCTATTGTAGCCATCTGGGCGATCGAGAGTTGCAGGGAGAGGAACGGGCTTGCTCTGACGAGATTGTGAGTTTTCCTTTCTTCTGCCTTTTCTCCAACCATTCATTTTTCTGGTGCTGGGTTGAAGTTGAACCCACAATAACTAACAGAGATGAAAACCACAGTACCAGTATTTATGCGCTATTCTACCAAACGGTTGGGGGCGCCATCATCATCCCGATCTACTACCTGGCATACCTTTACGACACATCCTCAAATCAATACTGGGCCAAGTTACGACGTGTCCCATTGCCATATGCTAAAGCACTGCCTCCTGCGGTGATAATTGGATATCTGATCCCCACGGTCCTGATGTTCCTGCCTTACTCGACGGCGCACAACCTGTGGACGACCCAGACCATGGTGGCTTTCTGGCAGCCATGTCCCTGGTACGTCAACGCCCTGCTCTGGCTGTTGCCGACATTTTATTCAGGCCGCCACGCCGCCTCTCAGCCTTCAAACGCTCAAGCCCACCAAGCCACTCAGCCGAAACCAGACCACGCTTCCGGGCACGACGACGTCAAATATCTCAATCGGGTCTACCTGGTCTCGTTCGCCGTCGCTGCATTGTCGCACGTCGCCGTCGCTGTCACGTGCCTCGTATCCTCGGACCCAGAGCATTCCTTCCAACACATGTTTTTGCCTCCGTCATCATCGACATCATCCTCGTCGACGACGGCGGAGTCGGACCCAAAACAACTCTCGTTGGTCCAGGGCATGCATGCCATCTTCCAAGCAGACTACTGGATCATCTTTGCGGCTTCCCTGGTCTGGGCGTACCTGGCAATCTGGGACTTGAAACGCCTAGGGCTGACGAGAGATGTCAATCTCGCCACGGCGTTCCTGGCGATGCTGCTGGGTTGTTTGCTCGTGGGCCCTGCCGCGACGGTCACTATGGTCTGGTGGTGGAGGGAGGGCGTCTTGGTCGCAGCGGAGCATGCGTAGTATTCCTAGCTAGGTAGGTAGGTTTAAACATACTTGTAGCCAAATGAGGAAGGCTGCGGAGCGGAGCTTCCCATGAGAAAGAAAAGGCCGAAATGACTAGTTGTCTCACATTGACAACATGATAACCTTGTTGGAAGGCGGTATGCTATAGAATGAGAATCATCGTCTGTCTGTCTGCTTATCTGCATCGAAATCGAAATGCTTCAGCGGCTTTAAGCCTTCTCGTCCCCAACCAATAAAATAGATGTTGTCATTCTTCTCGTTTCTTCTGTTGCCTTTTACCTGCAGCTATCCCCGGCCTATTACCAATGCTTTACTCCTGCTTCCCATGTGTAGGTTGGTATGTAGAAGAATGAAGGAAGTATGTGGCTCAGCTGGCAATGTCACACGTGACTAAGACGTCCGTGAATGGGGTCATGGCTTGGGGCATCGTATTGCGTATTCGCATTCGGCGCAGTTTCAGACGGCGCCGCCTGAAATGTATGATGCAACGACTCATACCAAGACTCAGGAACGAGCATAGTTTGTGGACACGTTTCTGAAAAGGGAGGCTTGAAGAAAAGCCCTCCTCGAAGGACGTGGATATTGCTTGTACCCTCATTGTCGGCCTCGAGAATTTCTACAGATCATCTGTCGTTTCCGTCGACATGTCAAACGCAACGACTCTGGTGTCGGGCTTTCCATTCTCCTTCCTCGTGCCTCAGGCAAATGTTTCCTACTACACGGTGCCCCTTGCCTGGCTACTGAGCTTCTCTCCGCACGTCTACGCCGTCGTACGCTACAACACTCACGACCAGCCTTCTGGGTCCGAGGCCCCAAAGTTCAATACCGCGTCGCCCCGAACCTTCCTCACTACGCTCCAGTCGCACCCGCACTTGTCCCAAGAGACCAAGGACCGCATCTTCCGCGCCGAGGCGGCATCTCTTAATGGCTTCGAGAATCTGGGCTGGTTTGCAGCTGGCGTCGTGGCGGCGAATGGCGCAGGCGTTGACGTTGGCTGGGTCAACACGCTGAGCATGTGGTATCTCTCCAGCCGCGCGGTGTACAACCTCGCTTATATCCGTGGTGTCGATGGGAGGCTCAGAGGGATCTGGTTTTATGGAAGCGTTGCGTGAGTCTTTTTTTCTCGTTTCCTGGCGTCCCCCTTCCTCCGATCTATCATGCATGTGGGAGAGGGTCAGTTTGATTTGTGTTGTGCTGGAGATGATGACTTTTTTCCAGGGCAACCATCACCTTGTTCATCAAAGCTGGTAATGCCGTCAGGAGGGTGGCTATGTGAAAGATGTTGGAACAGCAGCGGGTGAGACTGGATGATTGGAAAACGTTCTGGTCTTTGGAGGGTGTTGAACCATAGGTTGAACGCGGCATGGTCAAATATCGAGCATCTCAACTCAATGTTCAACCATCATACCATTCATGCTACTTCCATCTCAACGGTGGGATTCTCAGCGACACTCTTGACCAGGATTGGGAGAAAGCCACGAGCAGAAAGTTCGATCGTCAAACTAGTTCCCGCAACGCGACTCGTCATTCTATTCTGGCAGGTCCGATCTCAATCCTTCAGAATTTTCGCGAGGAGTGGAAGCTCGCAGGTCAGCTTGCGCTGCAGCTTGCCTGATCAGTCGTCCGCAAGTCCGATCAAGAGGCATATAAAAGAGTTGGACGAGAGGTGATGAAGCGGGACGGGAAACGGACAAGGAAGGGGAATTCGCCGTCCTGCGCTATACTTATGACACCTATGTAGAGCTTCGTCGGATAATATGGCGGGTAGAGGTGTGGGGGCACTGGCTTGGCTGGCCGCTCACGGTGGAACCGTGGGTGTCTAGGTGCCTAGCCACCCATCCCGCGTTGTCACCAAGATCTTGTTTAGGCGACTAGGTTGAACCCCCAATTAGTCCCCACTAGTCGCTCCCAAGCGGCCCTGGAGGATTTTCCGCCGCATGTGGGACACACTCTCAATGAATATAGCATCACTGAGATCCGTTCTCCACGTTTTAACATCTTCAACCCTCTGAGGGAGAATTCCGCAGAGGGAGTTACCGCATTCGCCGTCGACGACAACTGCACTTAGCTACCGGCATGCCCTTGACTACGCGTCATGTCCGACCAAGGCGGGATTCCTGGATTGGATTCCCCAATTCCTGGCTGGGCACATCACCCCATGTCATGACCACTCACGATTCCTCTCTGGTCTTTGACAACTGCTTGATAAAGCGATTTGACCAACCTTAAAACCCATGGCGTCCCTTGCCTCTTTGTTCGAGTTTGACACTCACCTTGGCTTGGTCCTCTGCAAGGAACCATTTGAGCTGTGTTCAGCACTGGCCGTCTCGCCACGCACACAAAGAGGTCGATGACAATGAATACTGACCATGCTCGCTCACAGTCCCCGGCGAGGTTTCCAGCCTCTAGAACTGCCTCCCTTTCCCGTCAGTTGTAAGTTCAAGTCTCCATCAGCTCCATTGTCTCTTTCCATGTCTACAGACTCTGACTTTTGGCTCGTGGCAGCGCCTTGTCCCAATTTCGATGATGTGCCGACCATCCGAGTTGCTACTCATGAAGTCCCCCTTCCAGCATACTGGCGTATTCTAGGTCTTTTAGAGGATGGCAAGCGAGAGGAAGAGATTGTCCAAGTCCTTGTACGCCACACAGGCACCAAAGCGCGGAGGATTATTACAGAGGTCGTGGATAGTGTCGTGGAGAACCAGCGCCTAATAACCGGGCCACCCAGGCCATCAGGGAGACTGAGCGTTGTGTTCAAGAAGCCCCGGAGAATAAGTGACTACCGAGCCACTCGGATGGAAGCGCGGCGGGAACTTCAAGCGGCTGAGGAGAAACTAGAGACGGCAAAGCTGAAAGAAAAGAAAGTTCTCAATGAAGTGCTCATTCTTTCACAACGCATGGAAGACTTGAAGGATAAGAAAATGGCTCCAGATGAACGACGAAAGACCACAAGTGCGATCGAACAGCAAATCGAATACGTGCTCCAGAAACACCACGACGTTGAGGCCGAGATTGCCTTTGCTAAACGACTCACTCTCATTCACAAGGCGTCTCTGGCTTGATGCTTCCGGTGCCACGATGCTGGGTCTGTGTTACACCCCTGAGCCTGAGCCTCGTCATTCCAGCCTTGCCACATGTCCCAGTGTCGCAGGACACAGTGATGATGTGACGCCTACTAGCTACCAGTGCTTGAGACAGCATCCCGAGGAGATGCCCGTCAAAGTTCTCAATTCGCGTTGCCACAATGACACATGAAGCCTCCTAGCGAACTATTCCACGAGAGGCGAGAGAAGACGGAGGCGTGATGCTGCGTGCCAGCCACATCCCAATCACTCTATTGTCGCAGTGTCCCGACATGAAAGCAAACCGAGCCACTACTCGGCAGACCGTAATGGCACAGACAGATATCCTCCAAACTCCTTCGCGAAGTCCACAGACACGCGGGCGTGTACACGGCCTTGCCGATCGATGAATCGGGCATTGTCCTCGAGCGGCACAACAGCGCCGTGCCAAATGTTTGGGTGGATGTATAGTCCCGCGCCTCCGTCACAGCGAAACGCGACAAACTTGTCCGGCGTTACATCGTCGCCTGGCAGAGCAAGGGGGACCACGAAACTCTGGCCATCAATTGGGAAAAATAACTGGCCGCCGTCTGGGTGGTAGTTCGCTCGCCAGATCATCGCCCGTTCACGAGGTCGCGCTGGACCGGTGGTCGCAGCCTCTTCAGGATACTGGCTCCAGGCAAAAAGATAGCTATCCCCAACAGCATTATTGCGCGCATAGAGCGTGTCACCTTTCCACCAGAACTCAAAGAGTCCTTCAGTTAGACCTCCCTGGTCTCCTGAATTCGCATCCACCGGCCGCCATCCTTGAGCCGGCCAACGCACGATCTCAATGCGATGCTTTTCGGGCACATCGACGATTTCCCCATATCCTTTGACGGTCTCGGACGTTGCCAGGACAAGGGGCGTTTCGAATAGTTTGCGGACTCCAGTGGTTGGGACGTAAGCTATTTCTTCAGGGTCAAAGACCTGACCATGAACGTCGGTTTCAACTTTGGTTTGTGCGTCACTGATAGTTCCGTTTGCCGTGACGGCCATGCTGCCCACTTCTCCTCTGCGTCCTGTGCGTTGTTACACTTGGAAGCCTTTTGGCCTTCAGTGAATACTGTTGGAGGAGATGACTTTTGTACAGAATTGTAAGAAGCAGCTATTTACAAGGTGTCTCTTCTGTCGAACAATCTATATCGAAACTGGTTCAGTCTGAGCTTTGCTCTGATGCCGATTCATCGGCACGAACCGCGACATTTTGACCATTGGACTCCACGACCAGCCGCCAATGGCAGTTTTTCCCTTCAATTTCGTCAATAACGCGGACCGTTGTTCATGCCGAAGACCAACGCGCTACGTTTTCCATTGTGCCAGCTGGCCTTGTCCACTGGGGCACTGCCAGGCTGTCAAATCTATACTAAGCTCCTTTTCACAATGTCGATCTGTTCAAAGCGGGCTCGCCCTTGTTGTGCCGTTACCCAAATAGCACTTCAACTGCTAGCGCTCGAGCAGAACAATCGACGGACGTACATGGTGATTGTCAGTGGCCACGAGGGACAATGAAGAACCTGTCTTTGACCCTTTATGACTCTCAATGGCAGCTTCTATCTCCTTTGTATTCCTCGGGACAAAATAGAAACAAAGTCGAGAGCCCGGCTCCAAGTTGTGGTATAGTATATATAACTGATACCTGGCACCGTATCCTCTTACCTAGGACAAGTCATCCAACTTTTACCCAGTAAGTACCACACACACAACGCAAAGGACAAATATCAGAATCCTTTTCTTTTTCAAACTACAATGACAGCATTATGTCCAGCAATCCACCGTGTCGGCGAGGCCACGAAAGGGTATTTCGACCAAGAGAAAAGAATTCAAGACGAAGTATGGCACGATACCAGATGGCCGCGCGTTCGTCTCGGAACCAATGAAATACTCAGCGTCAGCATGGCCAAGAGGATCGTCTTCTTATTAATAAATGGACACTCGTACGACTGCATTTCGTGCCACATGACGGAAGAGTTTGGCCGGGAAATTGACAGAGAGAGCGTTGAAGCTCTTCTCAAGAAAAATTTCGATGTTACCGACGAGCCCCTCCCTAGTGGCGAGACTTGCATTCCGGCGACATCACAAGACCCCCGTCATGGGTATGTCTCTGGACACATGATCCCGTCTGGGATCTACTCTGAAATTGTCCGTAATCATGCTTGGGGCTCAGCGAGTCTCGCAAACTACGTCAGAAGGCGCTGGGGTCTCGAACTAGACGAGGAGGTCATTGAGGCAGCACATGACTACTGGGTGGCTGAACAAGAGATCAGAGGATTGAACAACAGTCAACAAAGCAATCAACCAGCGGGTGAATCCCGCTCATCTGTTGGAACTACTGTACACGCCGGTTCCCCCACATTCCAGGGCAAAGCTGAGCACGACGTCAGCGTCAAATGCTTCAGCTGGTCTAATGTGATGGACTATTTGTTTACAGACTTGTCCAAGGTTGATGTCTATCCCGAAGGGCCGTCCGAACCAGTCAGGTTTCGGCCACGCCTCCAGATCATGAGACGATTCATGCATTTCCGGCTCCTGGACCAAGAGGCTCGTCCACTCATTCGCCGGTATTCCTTCGAGGACTTCACCTATCGAGAATTCCTTGACCCTTTTCCCCAAGTATACCCATTAGCTAAGCTGATCGGGGCATTCTACCAAGAGATGCATATTAGTGGGTGCGTGACATCAAGAAATGCCCTATGGGACTTTCCAGAACAAGACAGTGTCCCTGGATGGTGCTTCGTGCTCAATCACATGAGATTGAGTAGAGGTGCGCCAGAAGCATTGACAACCCTGGCAGATGAATTTTTCGCAGCAGCATTCCACGAACTACTGCTGAGCAAGTGCGCTACTGTCGTGAAGGTTTTAGACAGGCGCAGGCCTCGTCTCCTCGCATCAGTGCAGAGTTTCGAGGACCTGGAGAACTTGTTTACTGAGATCCGCAATGAAAGACTCGCCAGTCTGCCAATCAGGCTGGAAGATTTCGAATGGCACAGCAAGCGGCTTCGGATTTATGCCCCTAACGACGACGGCGACTTTCACCCCCCCACGACTCAGTGGACATCGGATGCACACGATATACTTCCACACCCTTTCACCCCGAATGACAAATACCAACAAACTCTTGGAAAAAGTAAAGCTTTGGTCTACGGCCTTCTTGATTCGGCTGACACGGACTTCACTGCCAGTAAGCAGTTTTTGGAGGGGCATGTCGTTGAGATGAATGTACTCATTCAAGAAGGCTCACCAGAGAAAGCAGATATGCAGACTATACTTGGACGAATCCGCGGCTTGAATAGTGCCCAGGAAGGTCTCGAGATTTCGGCGCAATGGTGGGCCGCCGTCGTGACAAACCTTGCTCTGGCAAAATTGGATCAGCCCAGGCGGTCTACTCTGTGGTTAGCCATGTCCAGTGAATGAGGAACCAAGCGGGCCGGGGCAGGGGGCAGTTTGATAAGGTAGGCATTGGGTATGTTCCGTCTTGCGAAGGATTTGGGTCTAGGCAACATATAGATACAATTAGACCAAGTCGTGTCTTTGGCTGTGTTTATCAATAAAGCATTCATTATAGGCTAACTTTGTCCAAAAGTTATGGTCACAATTCACGACCTTGATCAAACTCTCTCTAGCTACACCATCTTGAAGATTGGATCAAGATTGAAATCTCCAAGATCCCCATAGATGCATCATTTACCCGAGCATCCCCGAGGTAGTAAAGGAATCCACAAGGCTGTCTGACAAGCTGTGCCGTTGGCCACGCAGGCTGATGTCGGACAATTACCTCCGGCTGACGAATGGGGGGATTGACCTATTGAAGCTCCTAGATCTGTCTACATTTACTGGTACTATTAACTGGATAGCAAAACCTGGAGAAAGGGAGAAGGTGTGGGGGACGCCCTCGGCCAGACACCTGGAGATTCTCTTCTTTTTTTTCTCTCTCTTTCTCTCTCTCTCTCTCTATCGCTCTCCATAACTTCTGGGGGGATTTCTTTTTGGTCGCATTTGTCGTTGAGCCTGGTTAAAAGTATACTTGTGCTTGGGTGTGTATCGCAGTCTCCATCCCTTTGTGCTCAATCTACCTCTTCGGTTGTGTTGCCGATGGCAGCCATCAAGATGGATGTGACCAGCTACTCAGCGTCGCCTGTGACATTGGATATGGCTTCACAGCAAGACTCCCGCTCAGGGAGCCCGAGGAGAATTGGCGGCTCTTCCGTGTCGGGTCGAGTGGCGAAGAAACACAAGTCTGTTACTCCTCTGGCGTGCAACCACTGCAGGCTGAAGAAAGTCAAGGTGTGTGTTTTATTGCCCTTGTGGTGCAGGATTTCCCAGTTCCTCGGTGTTGAATCTGATCGATATCAAACCAAGTGCGTGATGGACCTCGGGGGCTGCAAAAAGTGCAACAGGCTCAATATCCCCTGTGTCTGGCCCAGCGAAGACAAACGGAAATGGTGAGTATCTATCAGCGCCCATCGGCTCTTTGATGTTGTGTACCAAGTCACCCCCCCTTTCTCAGTCCGACGTCCAAGAATCACATCCGGGAACTATATCAGCGGATCGCTGAGCTCGAATCAGCTCTCGAAGCAGCCAGAGCGACGCAAAACTCCATCACCCCGAATCGACATCAAGTGCCGAGTCCACGCTCTCCTTTGGCGTATTCAGCTCCATCGGCGCCAATCCCACCCCAGGAGGAAGATAACCTGATTTCACGCCTCTGTGGACGCCAGTGGAAACTCAACAGCGACGAGGAAGGTCAATATAAATTCTTTGGCCCGACCTCCAGTTTGCATCTGACCGAAAGCGTGTCATCGTCGTTACTCGGGCCATGGTGTCAGAGGAATGTGACGGCCGATGTCAGTCCCGATGATCCAATCGACCCAGAGACCCAGGCGCATCTGTTGGAGAATTACTGGAAGTACCAGCACACGGTGCTCCAGGTGTTTGATCGCGAAGTGTTCCTCGATGGGATGAAGTCGAGACAGACCAAGTATGTCAGTAAGGCACTGCTGTACTGCGTCTACGCCAGTGCCGCGCGGATATCGGATCGCCCGTCGGTGCGAGCGATGGTGATCCCCTCGTCCGACGACATGGACGACAAGGAACCGTTCCTCGTGGCGATGGCGGCCAGGCTCGTGGACCAAGAGCTCAAACGACCGCAGATCACAACCATTCAAGCCCTACTCCTCCTCTCTGTCGTTCATTGTTCTTTGAGCAAGGACACCAAAGGCTGGTTGTTGACGGGTGAGTTAAGTTTGCGATAATGGTGCCTGTACCAACTATTAACCACTACCGCAACAGGAGATGCGTGTCGACTTGCGATCGATCTGGGCCTTCACAGAACTGGAGACCAGCTTGCATCCACCAACCTGTCACCGAGGGACATGAAGGTACGGCAGATCACCTATTGGGGTTGTCTGGTCTTTGATAGGTGAGCCACCGTCTCTACACTAGTCTGTGACGATTCCGTCTCTCAATCGACCTGACACTCTCTTATCAAAGACTTTGGGCACTCTACCTCGGCCGCCCATCGTGTCTGAAATGCGAAGATGCTGAACTCCGATACAATTCTCTGATTCTTCATGATGCTTCGTGGGAGAAGCGGATTGCCTTTGCCTGGGTGACTCTTCTCCTGACGGTTGGGAGAATATGCGATGCCCTGTAAGCCGAGTCAATCTCAATCCAGCAATGACACATCCACGTACTGACGGGACCGTTTAGGAACGAAGAACAGTGCGACAAGGAGACGCTGCACGCCCTCGATGAGCAGCTTCAAGACTGGTACCAAAATCTCGACCCGGAGTTGCAGTACTGCGAAGAAGCGCATGCGTCGGTCCTGCTGCTTCAGTAAGGCACACTGAGACAAATTCCTTTTTCTCCCCGACATGGGACAGACTGCTGACGACTGACACTTGGTGACAGCATGCAATACTACTCGTGCAAGATCCACCTGCACCGCCCGACGGCCAACTTTGGTGTGCGGGTGTCAGAAATAGACGACGTCGACGCCCAGCGCCACCGGTCCCGCCAGATCTGCATCGACAGTGCGAAAAACATCGCCACAGCGCTGCAGGACTATCGCAACGTGTACGCGGACGCGTCGACGCTGAGCGGCGTCGCGTTACACGTCATCGCCACGGCGTCGACCATCTTGATCGCCGACATCGCCGAGAAACGCTCAGCCGCCGATGCGGCCTTTCAATTCTCGGCCCTCAAGACGTGCGTGCGCACCCTGGGCGAGCTGGAGAAGACGTACATTGTGGCACGGCGGGTGCGCCGCATCATCCAGCTCGTCATGCGACTGTGCCATTTTGAGAGCGAGTACGTCGATTTCCAACAACAGGCAAACGCCAACGAGATCGCCGCCAGGAATCCTGTCAGTGGCTTGTTCAACGTGTTGCACGAGGCCGGGGCGTCTTTCCAGTCTCCCCTGTCGTCGACAAACGACGACGACAACAACAACACGGGCCTGCCGTTGCCGACTCTGTCGGCGTATAGTCCCTTGTACATTGACGAGTTGCTCCCGATATCCTCGCAATTTGATATCATGTACAGTCTAGAATCGCTGTAGGATTTACCAAACAGAAGACAACAGAGGTGTTTTTTCACCCTTTGGGGGGGCTGGCCAGAGTGTTTGATCTCGAGAGCACTAGGTAATGTATGTAACATATGTATATATATATCCCTTAGTTATCCTTGTTCGTTATTCCCACGAAGCTATTATGTATGTCGCTTTCACTCCGCAACTCGGTACATTCGTATTGCCATCGTACTAATAGTATGTAGGTACCTAGGTACCCAAGGTATCCATTAGTGGGAGGGCAGAGGTGCCACGGTGATCATTCCCCGAGTTCTTATTTGTACCGTCCTGTTCCCTCTTGCATATTATATGGCTGGGCCCAGCGCCTGGCTGGAATGATTTTAGACCTCGGGCGAGAGAGACTTGTGCTAGAATATACCTACTTACCTACCTAGATACCTACCCACAAGTAATTTGTTTACCAGCCCCTCGGCGAAGCGACACCGCGAGAGAAGAAACTATACACACACGCATACCCCCCCTTTTTTTTCTGAACTTGGCCGCGCCCTTTCTCCCCGCAACGATCTTCTCGGGTTTACACCAGTCCACACAATGCCTCCCACGGAAATCCCCGAATCCTCGATCCCCCTCCTGTCCAAGTTCCTGCTCAAGGGCAAAAACATCGTCGTCACGGGCGGCTCGCGCGGGCTGGGCTTCAACTTTGCCCACGCGCTGGCGCAGGTGGGCGCCAACATCGCCGTCGTCGACATCAACGACGGGCCCTGGGTGTCGGAGAACCTGGCCAAGTTGACCCCCTTGGGCGGCCGGTATCAGTACTACCAGGCCGACGTGGTCGATTACCAGGGTCTGAAGGAGACGGTGGATCGGATCCAGCGCGATTTTGGGAGCGTGGATGGATGGTTGGTCTCGCTCCCCCTGCTTTTCTCTGAGTTTTTGAGTTTTTTCCATGTTTGGTTTTCTGGTCTGGTCAGGTCAGGTCACGAAAGAGATGAGCCATTCCCCCGCTGTGAGTGTGGGGTGGGGAGGAGGTGGAAGGGGAGAAAGGTGTAAAAGGCTGATTGAGACTGATTGATTGATTGATTGATTCTGGTTACAGCATCGCCGCTGCGGGTATCATTCGTGACAAACCGTTCCTCGAGCACACGGAGAAGGATTTCAAAGATACCATGGACGTCAATGTACAGTTATATTGCAGTCTCTTCAACACATCCGACGCAGCAGACGACCCACACAGGGTACACCCCGGAGGGCCCCGTCCCCATACCGACCACACGCACCACAATCACCACGCCGACTCCGCACGACTGCCCTCCG